GATTTGGAATTCAGAAAAGAGGTTAATCAGATAAAAGCCACAGTCAGGCAATTTCCATAACATCCTTTCATCCTCTGACCAATGATTTTCTTTATCTGTGTCCTGTGTCCTATGTCCTGAGTGGTTTTCTTTATCTGCATCCTGGGCAGTGGACCGTCTCGCCCTGGAACACAGGGGCTTGGATACCACCTTGACTGCTTATGGTCTCTTCTGGAGCACAAAGGTCGATCTCTTGTAGTCTCCTGGAGTCGCAGACCATACCTTCAGTTCCTGAAACAGTAGCTTTTGATATGCATTAACTACTAGGCTTATTATTACTTTAAACTAAAACTTTCCAACTCTCAAGTTCCCCACCAGTAGGATGGCAGACTGTCCCCATGCAACCACCTTTGACATTTCACAGGAGGGATGCCAGGCTGGAATAAGAAGTGGCTACATGGGGATTATTTTTGCATTTGTTCTAAGGCCATCATTACAACAACCACCATCTCGTGGTTGTTGCTGGGGACCAGGAGTCAGACAGATCTGGGATCCAGTCCAGGCTTTTCCATTTACCAGCCCTGAGACCCTGAAGTCCCCTCCCCTCTCTGTGCCTCAGTTTCTTCATCTCTATTATGGAGTCCTAGCGGCCACATGAAAGGATTGCTAGGAGGGTGGGTGAATGTGCCCAGCCCGGCCCGACACAGTGTTGCTAGACTATGGTCGCCTTTACAACAAGCTCCTTCATCCAGGCCACTTCCTCTAAAGGGCGAGAGGAGCCAGAGAGCTGGGTGTCCCAGCCCCTGACCTTCTCAGCACTCCGGCTGAACTTTTTCTAGTTCTCAGGTTCTAGAAATGACAGTGCCCCTTGTTGTCACACAGCAAGTATGGAGGCAGGAGGGATGTTTGTGGCAAGACAGAGAGCTGACAGAAAGGCTCGCTGAATGATTAGGAGGAAAACAAAGTTGACTTACCAGCTGCTTTGCACATTACCGACACAACCCTTTGACAGGACTATTGTTTACCTCGAGGAGGGACAAAACCACCTTGGCCACATCCCGCAGTGGGAGGAAAGGTCAGTGCTTGCAAGAACTGGAAGTTTGCGCTAAGGTGCGCCTTCAGTGCGGGCAGGGAGGGGTTGAGGGGAGCCCAGTTAGGATCGGGTGGGAATTGTGATCCAACAGTACGGGATTTGTGGGTGAAAACAGAATGGTAAGGATTTGGGGAAGAGAGATTCCAAGAATTTGCAGGTACAGTCTGTTAATGGTTTCTCTGGAAAAGTTGATCAGTCTTTCAGGAAGTTCTTGTAATAAACAATTAAGCCATTTGCATGGTCTGGCCAATCAGGGAAGAGTAAGAAGGAAACGTGCTAATGAAAACTGCAATATCAAAGTCAAGTTAATGTGGACCATAAGGAGTGGTTTCCGGCTTTGAGTGCCCCTACTGAATATGGGGTGGAAGGGCCTGGTTCCCAGTGGATATCTGCACTGGGACATGGAGATAATCGTCCTCGCATCATGGATGAAGAGGCCAAAGGGCCACTGGTCCAAGGCTCCGAGGCAGGACTGTGGCTGCAAAATCAAATCCTGGACAGTTACCTCCCAAGACAGTGAATGTGCATGGAGGGTAGGGGTCCAGGTCCTTGGGTGTTATGGGTGACCAGGACTTGGATGAGAGGGAGAGAGATAATCCGGAGATGGTGTTAAGCTGGAGGAGTCAGGTGTGCATGGAAGGGAATGGGGTCAGTTGGGCCTTGTAGTACCAGAGGCACTTGAAATTTATCAGGAGAGGGGAGGGCAGTGGTCCTCAGTGGGGCCTGCGTTGTGCCAGGTCTGTGCTGGGCGCCCTGGATGCCTTCTCTCCTTGGGGTAGGTGCTGTATCCTTACCTTACAGATGAGGGAACGGGTTCAGAAAAATGAAGGGTCTTGTCCAGGTTCATACAGCATGCCAGTGGAGGTGGGGCTGGGGTTCAGACCTGGGGGTCTGAGGACCTGGGGAGTTGCCATCCCCCTGGGATTTGCGGTTGGCAGCTGGGAGGGATGGAGGAAGCAGGTCCCCAAGCCTTTCCAGGTGGGAAAGGCGCCTCTCCCTCTCTGACAACTCTCTGAAACCTTGGCCCTTATCGCCCTGGACTTAGCCGGTGTGAAGAAAGATGGTTCTAACTAACCGGTAAACCAGGTCTTAGGGTGACTGACGAGCTCGCTGAGCAGCCGCAGACAGGTGGCTGACTAACAGAGCAAAGAGACATGTCTCCTAAAAGGCTAGCCAGACTGGGACTTGCCAGCTGATGGACAGGAGTGGCCTGTGTGAATGGCCAGCATGCACCAGCTGTTGGGCTCACAGACCCCCTGCCTGGCAGCTCTGGGGCTGCGGCTCCAGCTCTTGGAACCAGCTGGCCTACCTGGGACACAAAACTTGTTTGCCTTCCTGGGTATTTTTTCTTGGGGTCTGGCTCCCTGCTTCTCCATTCTTACAGGCCGCCCTGGCCTGGCCCAGGTTCAGTGCCACAGCTGCTCCCCTCCTGTTAAAGCTGGCCCCTGACAGTCTCCACAGGACAGGAAGGGCCTCAAGGATGTCACAGGAGGAGGACACACAGCCCTGGACTCAGGACCCTCATTCTGAGGGGAGTCTTGCTCTCCATCAGGGAGATGGAGTGATTGCAGCCAATCCCTAAGAAGGGCTCAAAGGGGACCAGAAACCTGCCTGCCCAGCCACATTCAGTGACCAGCTGACCACTCAATGCAGTGACATATGGTTGCTCTCAGAACTCGAGGTCTTAGAGCCAGTGCTTCCCTCTTCTGCTCAGAGCTTAAGGCTGTGGAATGGGCCACAGGGAGGTGGAAGGTTCTGAGCTGGTTCACTGACTTGTCTCTCCCTCGTCCGTCCACCGTGGATTTCTTTCAGAGCTGGGGTTCCAGGTCAGTGACTTCTGCCCTCCCAGCCTCAGGTCCAGCCCCATTTTCTGGCTGGCCTGGCCCCTTGGCTGGTGGGCACTGCTGTGCTCCAGGTGGCCAAGTGTGATTGGGCTAGAGCACTGTGCTTCTCCCCTCATCAAACCTGCACAAGGAACACAAAGGGATGTTGAGGCTGAGACCTGAGTTTGAGTCCCTGCACTGAGGTCAACCAGCAGAGCTAGCTACCTCTGAGCTTCGGCATCCTCATCCGGAGCATGGAGACAATGAAAGCACCAGAGGTGTGGAGCAGTGGAGAGCCTTCCCAAGCAGGCAGAGTGTAGCGTGGCGTCTCTGCGGGCTGGAGTGGCTCACTGTCTCTGCCAGGGAGAGGATCTGGGGCTTAGAAGCGGTGCTGCCAGTATCCTGGGGTGGGGGGGAAGCCCTTCAGTGAGCTTTGCAGTGCTTTCCCTGCTCCCCTCCACGAAGCCAGTCCCTCATCTCCTCCCTGTCAGGTGTCACTTTCTTTCACCATCTCCTGTTTCCACTGAGTGCTTATGGCCCCAAAAGGGACTCTTCCCCAGCCACACATGGTCACTTCCTCAGTCAAGCTCCTCTAGCTCTTTGAACAGACATTTCTCTAAAGAAGACACACAAATGGCCAACAAGCACATGAAAAATTGCTCAACATCATTAGCCCTTGGGGGACTAGAAATCAAAACCACACAAGACACCACTTCGCACCAGGGGCTGGGGAGGGAGGGGTGGGGAGTGGCTGCTAGCGGGTATGGGATTTCTCACTGGGGTGATGAGAATGCTGCGGAATTCATGGTGACGGAGTATAACTTTTTGACTATTCTAAAACCCCCCGACTTGTGTGCTTTAAGAGAGTGGATTTTATGGCCTGTGAATTATATCTCAATGTAAAAAATTTCTCAGCCTCCCAGCTCTAGTGCACGAGCCCCAAGCCTCTGCTTGCTGCAGTCCCCCTCCGTCCTCTGCATCCTCGCCCCTGGGTCTGCCTTCCAGGTCCGGGTACGGAGAGCCCCCAGCCCCTCTCTGGTCAGAGGTGTCCTCGGGTCAGTTTTCAGGCTCCAGAGGAGCTCGTTGAATGAGAGGAAACTCCTGCAGGGATGAGAGGCACATGAAACAATGGAGGAGGCTTCCGAAGGAAGTGGGGGGGGCCAGCAGGGGAGGAAGACCGAGGCCAGGGCTGCCAGAAGGTGCAGGTGGCTTCCATCTGAGCCATGGGGCGGAGCTTCCCGAAGCCGAACTTCTGGCTCCTTGCTGAGACTATACGTCCGCAGACCGGAGGAGGTGCCTCCGAAGGGGCTCAGCTTTCCTCTTGCTGCCATAAGTGCGATGCTGATGTGACTGCCACGGATCCCATGGGAGAAAACTGACATGTGTCATGGGGCCAAGCGTCCAGTTCAGTCACAGCTCTGCCGTCTGGGGCCAGCCCACTACCTGGGGCCTCGGTCTGGGGAGGTTGGTTACACAGGGTGACCTCTGAGGAGGGCCCTTTCTGCACCGATCAACAACATGGTTTGGTGTGTGGTTTGGGGACTGGGCTGGTTAGCTCTGTGGTCCTATGCAGCCTGCTGCCCTCTGGGGGCATTGGTGTCTGTCCCAAACTGTTTCCAGGAAAAGTCTTTATGCCCTGACTGTGGACCATGTCCTGAGCCCGCACCCCTGATCCTAGTGGCTTCAGACGTCTGATCCTAGACTAATCCAGCCAGACCAGACCAGGCCGGACATGGCCTCCAGGGGCACCAATGTAGGCCTCTCACCGCTGCAGGCCTAAGGTAGCTGAGAGTCTGCGTCCAGGCCACAGGGGCTACTGCTCGAAGCTGTGTGACGGGTTCAGCAGCTTCTCCCTAGAAGGCAAGCCTGTGCTAGGAATGGAGTGACAGTGTGAAACAGGTGGTCCCAGTCAGGGCCTGGCCAACGTGGGCACAAGGAGTACACACCCCCTCAAGAAGGACCCTTTCAGCTCCTGGGGCTCAGGAAGTCTGAAGGTGTTTTGACTTTCCGATCCTCACTGACCTCTGAAATACCTTGGGCTACCCAGGTCAGGGCCATTCTCTGGATTCTGTCTTCCCTCTCACCCCCGGCAGTCTGTCCCACAGGACCAGTGGGGGAGGAGCCCCAGATGACAGACAAGGACACCAAGGCCACGATGGGCACAGAAGACACACCTGGAGACGTGGCCAGCCGAGAATCTCAGGACTCGAAGCCAAGCGTGTTCCACAACATCAAGGTGCCTCCCGGGGCCTGGCAGCGCAGGGCCATCCAAGCCTGGCACAGCGAGTGCTGCCACTGACAGGCTGTGCAATGCCAAGCAAGTTGCTGCCTTCCCGGGCCTCAGTTTCCACATCTGTAGAATGGGTGACTGTGAGGATCAGAGGGATGATCTGTGAAAGCACTTAGCTTGATCTTGGCCACATGGGAAATGTTCAGTACATGTTCTCTCCTTTCAGAATGAAAAAGGGGCTGCTCCGTGGCAGCACGGGACGAGTCTCCTACCTCTCATTTCCTTAGAGGGAAAGAGAAGGGCCCCAGGGACCCTGAACCTGTGTCAGTGCACGGTAACCCTGTGGAGAAGGGACACTCTCCTCATACATGAGGGAATGAGACTCTGAAGAACAGAGTGAATGTTATTAAGCTCTGGCATAAAAACTCTGTTCTTTAATTCTTTGACACTTGTTTTTCTTTCCTAAGGCAGAATTCCTTTCTGCCTTTTTTTTTTTTTTGGAAGCAGGAAGAAATGTTTGAGGTGGGGCTGGGTGGGGTGGAGTGGGCAGCCTGGGGATTTGGTGTGTACAGGTTCTCTCGAGGGAGCTCAAGGGGAAGGTGGGCGGGGAGTGGGGGTGAGGTGGAGAAGGATGTGGGGCAGCTTCCTGGAGAAAAGGGCGGGAGGTGGACAGGGAGGTGGTCCAGTCCAGCCCTGGGAGCTCTGAGGGTCAGAGGGGGCTGCACTATTTAGGCCTACGGAGACCCTACTCTCAGTCATGTGGGTCTCGGGTAAACCCTGGAGCCCCCGAGGGCACCCAGGAAAGCTTTGCTCTTCGCCTCGGAAGCTATGGCCACTCCAATAACTCTCTCTTCTCTTGTCCTTGACTCCCCCTTTCTCTCTCTCCTCCTGTGTGTCTGTCCCCCATTTCCTCGTCTCTGTTCTTTGCTCCTCTCACGGCCCTATGCTCCCTCTTTCCCCTACTCCACCTCCGTCTCTCCACCTCTTTGTCTCCTGTCCCTCTGCCCGCTGCCATCACTGGGGCCCCTCCTTCTGGCAGTTCTTCGTCCTGTGCCACAGTCTGCTGCAGCTGGCCCAGCTCATGATCTCCGGCTACCTGAAGAGCTCCATTTCAACGGTGGAGAAACGCTTTGGCCTCTCCAGCCAGACCTCGGGGCTGCTGGCTGCCTTCAATGAGGTAATGGTCCTGCCTGCCATGGGGGTGGACCTGAAGTAGAGGCACACCCCACGGACCCCCTTCCTGCACTCTCACTACCCCGACATAAACCCTTCTGCTCCCAGTGCCTGCAGGCAACCCTGTCACAGCCGCCTCCCAAACCCTCCTTAGCTGGCTCTTTCTGCATCATCCTGGCCCATGAAGGGATGAACTACCAGTTAGGACAAAGCCTATTGAGAAGACCTCCCCCTCCCTGGAAAGTTACAGTATTGGCAATCCTGTCCTTGGGGGGCACTTTAGTGGGGGATGTTGAGTATTTTGGAGCTAGCCAGTGTCCCCATATCCAGCCCCCTACCCTTTGGTTCCTCTTTCTTTATTGCCTGTCCCTGGATGGAATCAGGGTAGGGAGAGAGTGTGAAACTAGGTCAAAGGCAAAAGTCTGGAACTGTGGGGAGGGAGTGATGCCATGGCAGGAAGTCTGGTCCTCAGAGTTGGCCAAGGATCCGCAGCCTCTGCCTCTGAGGTTGGTAGCCAGAGAGGAGTAAATGGCTTTGGGTGGATCTGGAGATTGAGTCCAGCTGTGCCCAGCCCCTCCCCGCCCAGATGTTTCAGAAGGCCCCGTCCAGAGATCACTCTCACTGTTCCCCACCCCCAGAGATTTCTGTGAAATTCTCTCCCCTGGGCATGATGTGTCACATTCCTCCAAACCCAAATTTTGCCAGCTACACCAAGTTCCCAGATATTCCTTAGACCTCACCTCCGGGAAGAGAATGTCATTATTGAGTTCTGGGACCTTGGTCAAGTCATTCTCTGTCTCTGGCCCTCCGGGTTAGTCCTCCTACCAACCCCACCACTCCACCATCAAAGAGCCTGGGGCTCAGGGGGTGAGGACCTCACCCATGGCCTCCAGCCAGTAAGCAGTGAAATGGGACACTCACCCCAGCTTCTGACGGAAGGGCCAGCTTCCTATCTGCAAGTTCCTAGGATTTTGATTCCAAGGCTCAAAATTCCAAGACTTAGTCATCTGGCTTTAATCTTTATTTGTTTCTCTCATTCATGACACCCCAGAAACTCGAAACCCTTTTCCTTGACGGCCCCCCTTCATATTCTAACATGGGATCCAACCCAAGTTCCAGAATGAAATTGAGCTTCCAAATGTATCCCCTCTGCTCTCATTTCTGCCCTTCCTAGGAGGACCCACAATCCGATTCTTATTTAGCCAGCCAGTCCACTGTGCAGTTGGGAACACTGAGGTTGACAATAAAGGCAGGGATGGTGCAGCCCCAGCTCTGGGTTCTGCTCCACTTTAATGGCTCTCCTTATCTTTTGCAGGTGGGGAACACAGCCCTGATTGTGTTTGTGAGCTATTTTGGCAGCAGGGTACACCGGCCCCGACTGATCGGCTATGGGGCTATTCTGGTGGCCCTGGCAGGCCTGCTCATGGCCCTTCCACACTTCATCTCTGAGCCGTACCGCTACGACAGCACCAGCCCCGGTAAGAGCAGGAGGGGTTGGGCAGGAGGTGAGCCTGAGGAGCAGCATCTGTGCACCGGGGCCCATCCCCGGGCCTTCCTCGTGCAGGATGGGCCTGCCCTTCCAGGACACCTGCTAGTCCTCCCCAGCCCACCCCCACCACCTCTCTCAGCCCTAACTCGAGTGGATCCCTTGTGTGGTCTGGGGAGCGGGGTGGGGTAGAGTCCTGGGGTGAGGCTCTCTGAGCCAGTCTTGGTGAGGAACTGCTTGCATGCCACTGGTTTTTGGGAGGTGGAGACAAATTGACACCACAGTCTATTTGGGACCTGGCAGTAGTAGGTCCTCGGGAGATGTCTGTGGAATAAGAACAGTATCACCCACCACTTACTACACACTAGACACTGTTCTGAGCACTTTGCTTGTATGAATGCATTTAATCCTCACAAGAAGCCAAGATGCTGATGAAACTAAGAATGAATGAGTGAATGACCAAATTAAAAAATGGAAGAATTTTAGACAGGAACAGCGAAGCCCCTGTTGAGCCCAGCAGGGTTTGTGTCACGGGCCCACTGGTCAGATGGATACCCATCCCTTACACCCTTACAGAGTGGCCCAGGCAGCCCGAGCATTTGCTTCATTCCTGCCTTCTCCCACCCATCCGTTTACCCAGCCACCCACCCGACTCACCACTCTTCATGCTCACGGCCCATGCGCAGGTGCTATCATCATCCTATTTTATAAGTGAGGAAACTGAGGCTCAGAGAGGCAGGGACATGCCCAAGGCATGCAGGTGGCGGAGTTATGATGCGCCCTGGTTGCCTGGCCCTGGTACCCGTGCTCTGAATGACTGAATTATTCTCTCTGAATTCTGTATTTCTGTAGCACTTCCATTCTGGGGGACTCTTTTGAGAGGTGAGGAAACAGAGGCTCAGAAGGCTAAAAAATGTCACAGTCCCTGGCCCAGGCAGGCTGGGTTGAAGGTCCAGGCTTTTAACCTTGGTTCACCCAGCTTTCTCTCTGAGTCCTAGCTGCTACCAGCTGGGCAGGCCACAGAGGGAAGGCCACTTCTAGACCTGCACTTGAGATAATAATAACATGAGGGTCTCCTTAAGTTTGCTCACCAAATATTGGTGAGCTGCAAGGAATGAATGTGTTGTACTAAATTAAGAAATGCCCCTTTACTGAACTTTGCCTTGGGGTCCCAAACTGAGCCCACCCCAGCAGGAAGGCCAAGAACACAGTTCAGCCCCAGCGCCCCTCCCCTGCCTGGCCCCGCCTTCCACCCTGGCCTTGCCCCCCACACTCTGCCAGCAGTGCTGAGCTTCTTAAGCCCCTGGGGTTTGCAATGTGTGGTGACTGCTTCCTGGAATAGTCCTTCCCACCTTCTTTTTCTGGAAAAGCTTGTTTGTTCTTCTCAACCCAGTTCAAACTTAGTCACCTTTGATGACCCCACCCCACCCAAGGGTGCAAACCCGCTCTGCTCAGAAAGAGTGCATGAGGTGGTTTAAGAGTGTGGACCCAGAGCCAGGCCACCTGGGTTCCAGTCCCGGCCCTACCCTTGCTCGTCGCTGCCTGAGCATCAATCAGCCCCCTCATCTGGGAAATAAGAATAATGAGAGCACTCCTCCCTGAGGTTTGTGGTAAGCATATAGGACCTTGCATCCAGAAAGTGCTATATGAAAGTCTTAGCTATCATCCTAATGCTTTCTATCACCTCTCAGTGGACATGCGGCAAGACTTCGAGGCCTCCCTGTGCCAGCCTGCAACCTCGGTCCCGGTCCCCTCCAATGGCAGCAGCTGTTCAGGCCACACGGAGGCCAAGCATCTGGCTTTGGTGGCAATCATGTTCACGGCACAGACCCTGCTTGGGGTGGGCAGCGTGCCCATCCAGCCCTTTGGCATCTCCTATATCGACGACTTTGCCCACAACAGCAACTCGCCCCTGTACCTCGGTGAGGAAGGGGCCCACTTCTTGGGCTCGGAGGGAGGGCCAGGCTCAGGCAGGAGGACCAGAGGCCTCGAGTGGGGGGGAGGCAGGGTGACTGGGCTCTCTCCCATGTGGCTAGTAAAGGTCCAGAGAAACCCTAGAAAGTTTTCTGGGCACAACCCGGGGAGCCAGGCTGCTCTTGCACAGTGGGCAGGCACTGACCCACTGAGGGGAGCCAGGGCCGGAGCAGTTTGACCTAGGATTTGTGTTGCAGGGATCCTGTTTGCTGTGACGATGATGGGGCCAGGCATAGCCTATGGGCTGGGTGGCCTCATGCTGAGACTTTATGTGGACATTAACCGAATGCCAGAAGGTGAGCTCCAGGGGCACACGGATACTAGCTAACTGACCGCTGTTCTTATAGGAGATACTGAGCCAGGGCGTCCAGGTTCAAATTCCACAATCCCACTGACCTTGGACATGCCTCTCAACCTTTTTTTTCCCCATCTTTGAGGTAATCTTTGTCCTGTCTCCCAAAGGCTCAACCAGAACCCAGTGCTGGGAACAAGCTGTAACGCTCTATCAGAGGAGGGGCCATGGTTGTTGTCATTGTTATTATGTCTTCACCTTGTTCCATCCCGGAGTCACCCTGGCCCCCAGCCCCATGCTCAGACACGCTGTGGGCAGACAGGGGTGCATGTTCTCTTAGTCTGCAGGGAGCTTCCATCTTTAGGGGGGAAGACCCAGGTGAAACAGGACATTGGCACAACAGAGACAGCTTTCAGAGCAGGGCTCAGTTCCCTCGGGCCTCTCTCTGGTGGGAATTCACTGGGTGGCCTGGAAAAACCCTTCCAATTCTGACCACCTCAGTTTGGGAACCTGTGCCAAGGGCACCATTTGGAGAACGGTGGTCTCTTGATCCAAGTAGTGGTAGGAGAGGGCCAAGGAGTAGGATCGAAGCTTGCTATGAAGGCAGCCAAGAGGGAGGAGCTTGGGGGCTCCTGGCACCCTGCTGGCAGTGCGAGGGGATTCCTTTTAGATGGATCACTGTGGCTTCCCAGCTGCCTGCTTGCCATACCGGGCAGTGCTGAGCCCCCAACTATGCCTTCTGCTGCTCAGAAGCCCTATCCCTCACCTGGAGATTTTCCAGAGAGTCCTAGAAATCTCAGGTGATGCAGGTACAGATAGCAGGACATGCAGATTCTGCTTCTGATTCCAGTTTTGCTCAACAGAACCTCCAGCCAGGACAGGTCTGGGCAGCTCAGAACAAGAGCCACTGAGACAGCCCCACGCCACTTCCAGCTCCCCTTCTTGGAAGCTGGGCCTAGAAGCCAAAATAACTCCTCTCTCCCTTGGGAGCCAAGGCTTCCCTAGTCTCTAAGACGCACCCCAGCTCAGGGCAAGAGGGTGTGTTTTCTGACTCTGTTGGCATCATCCTACCCATGTGGCACCTGCACAGACAGACGGGATAGTCCTGTGAACCTAGTCCTTCTGCCTCTCTGGGGGCTTTCGTGGGTGGGCGGGTTGTGTCCACAGCAGGCACAGACTGGTATGTGAGAAGCAGAGGAGTTGGGGAGATGCAGGTGTGAATGAACTCTTCTCAGCCTGACACAGAAGCAGGGGGATAATAAGTGGAGGAGGTACCCGTGCTAAAGCCTGCCCCAGCATGTGGTACATTTGCTGGGTGCCAACTGTGCACGTGGCCTCTGCTAAGGAGGAGCTCAGGGTCAGCTACCCAGGAGCCAATCTGACTCGTGGGGCTGGAATCGTCACACATCCCCATTGCTATACAGTGTTCGCAGGCACTGTGGCGATCCAAGGGGGAGGTACCCAAGAAGCCATGAGGTCTAGAGATTTGATGGAGAATGGGGTGCTCAAGACAGGAGACGCATCTGGAATAATCTAGTTCTAATTACACGTTATGGGAGATAAAAATCATCTGGGGGACCTGTTAAAGGTACAGATTCCTTGGTCACCCTCCAATCCTACCACATGGTCATTCTAAGCTGGTCTTGGGTAAGACCAGGTATTTTTGATAAACACCTCTGGTGATTTTAATCACCGTGCAGGTCTGAGAACCGCAAGAGTGGTCCTAACCATCAGGTTAATAATAACAATCAGAACAGTGGTGATAAAATGAAGAGGAGCCAACACCTGTACAGGACACGCTGTGCCAGCACTACTCTGTGCTTCTTGCATGTATTCGTTTCTGTGATTCCACAGCAACCCTCTGATGGAGGCACTGCTGATATCTGTGTTCTGCAGAGGAAGAAACTGAGGCACGAGGAGGTTAAATGTCTTGCCCGAAGTTCTGTTAATAACGGAATTCAGAGCCAGCAGTCCATTTCCAAAGTCTATGACCTTGATCACTACACACATTGCCTCAGTAGCTGAGAAAGCTGAGGTCCACACATGGTCAGGGACTTGCCCAAGGTCACACAGGGCATAAATGGAAGAGCCAGGATTATAACCCAGATCTCCTGATGCCCTATCCAGCCTACCTTATGTCTCAGAGGTCTGTCCTAGGGTGGTGGCCAAGAAGTGATGACCCATCCTGAACCTAACTGTCTTCTCTTCCAGGTGGTATCAACCTGACCTCGAAGGACCCCCGATGGGTGGGTGCCTGGTGGCTGGGCTTTCTCATCTCCGCTGGCGTGGTGGCCCTGGCTGCCACCCCCTACTTCTTCTTCCCCAGAGAGATGCCCAAGGAGAGACATGAGCTTCTCTTCCGGCGAAGGGTCTTTGCAGTTATCAGCAAAGTAAGCTCCCTTTATTATTTATTTATTTATTTGTTTGTTTATTTACATTTTAATTGTTGTTCAAGTACAGTTTTCTGTCTTTTACTTCCATCCCAGCCCTCCCCACCATCCTCTCATTTTCCCACACCCCCTTGTTTTTGTCCATGTGTCCTTTATATTAGTTTCTGCAAACCCTTCCCCTTTTCCCTTGAAATTCTCTTCCCTCTCCCCTCTGGTCACTGTCAGCCTGTTCTCAATTTCAGTGTCTTTGGTTATATTTTGCTTCTTTGCTTCTTTGGTTGATTAGGTTCCTGTTAAAAGTAAGATCATATGGTGGTATTTGTCTTTCACTGCCTGGCTTATTTCGCTCAGCATAATGCTCTCCAGGTCCATCCATGCTGTCACAAAGGGTAGGAGCTCCTTCTTTCTCTCTGCTGCATAGAATTCCATTGTGTAAATGTAGCATAGTTTTTGATCCACTCATTTACTAATGGGCACCTCACTTAGGTTACCTCCAGCACTTGGCTATTGTAAATTGTGCTGCTATGAACATTGGGGTGCATAGGTTCTTTTGGATTGGTGTTTCAGGGTTCTTAGGCTATAATCCTAGCAGTGAAATCGCTGGGTCAAAAGGCAGGTCCATTTTTAGTTTTCTGAGAAAATTCCATACTGTTTTCCACAATGGGTATACCAGTCTGCTCTCCCACCAACAGTGCACTAGGGTTCCATTTTCTCCACAACCTCTCCAACACGTGTTGTTTATTATTTTGTTTGCGATGGCCATTCTGACTAGTGTGAAGTGGTATCTCATTGTGGTTTTAGTTTGCATCCCTCTGATAGCTAGCGATACTGAGCATCTTTTCATGTATCTCTGGACCCTCTGTATGTCCTTCTTGGAGAAGTGTCTGTTCAAGTCCTTTGCTCATCAAAATGTCCATACTACCCAAAGCAATTTACAGATTCAATGCAATACCTATTAAAGTATCAATGGCATATTTCACAGACATAGAACAAACACATCAAAAATTTATATGGAACCATAAATGACCCCAAATAGCTGCTGCAATTTTGAGAAAGAAGAGCAAAGTAGGAGGGATCACAATACCTGATACCAAACTATATTACAAGGCCACTGTAATCAAAACAGCCTGGTACTGGCATTAAAAACAGGCACATAGACCAGTGGAACAGAACAGAGAGCCCAGAAATAAACCCAAGTCTCTATGGGCAATTAATATTCGACAAAAGGGGGCAGTCACACAAAATGGAGTAAAAAATAGCCTCTTCAACAAATGGTTTTGGGAGAACTGGACAGCTACGTGCAAAAAAAAAGAAACTCGAGCACCAACTTACACCATATACAAAAATAAGTTCAAGATGGATAAAAGATTTAAACATAAGCCGTGACACCATTAAAGTCGTAGAGGAGAACATAGGCAGGAAAATCTCAGATATTTCATGCAGCAACATTTTTACTGGTATGTCCACTAGAGCAAGGGACATAAAGGAAAGAATAAACAAACGGGATCTCATCAAAATAAAAAGCTTCTGCAGGGCTAAAGAAAACAGTGTTAAAATAAAAAGAGAACCAACTGTATGGGAAACATATTTGCCAATGATACCTCAGACAAGGGTTTAAGCTCCAAAATATATAAAGAACTCATATGACTCTAAGAAGACAAGCAGCCCAAATAAAAAATGGGTAAGCTCCCTGTATGTCCCACCCTCGTCCAGGCTCCAGCCCCCACCAACTTGTCCTCCTTTGTAACATTAACCCTCATCCCTCCTGGGCACTGTACTTCACAGCTTACAAAGCCCCCTGGGGGATGTGGAGCTCCCCTGCATCCACCTAACAGCCCTGCACAGTGAGTATTTCCTGCCCTTCCCACAGCAGAGGAGATCAAGGGTAAGAGATGGAAGTGACCTGCCCAAGGTCACAAGGCCAGCAAGGGCAGCAATAGGATGAGAACCCTAGCCTGTCTGTGCCTATGGCCCTAGTTCTAACTGTTACACTACCAGCTCTCTGCTTGTCACTTAAAGTTTTCTTTGGAAATTCCAAACACTCTACAGCGATGTTGAGAACTGGGAGGAAGGTGTGTGGGTCTGGGAAGACTTCTCCCAAGAGGAGGGGTTAAGCTGGATTTTAAAGGATGTGTGGAAGCCTGGAAAGAGAGAGAGGGGTGTTCCTGGTGTGGAAACAGCCTGGGCAAAGGACTTGGCAATAGCAATGACAAACTCAGAGACGGCAAGGGGACAAACATGTACTGAGTGCCTCCCTGCGCCAGGCATCAGCCTGGACCCTGGAGCTCACTACGTGGTCTCTACCCTTAAAACAGGCACAGCCTAGTCAGGACAAAGACTCACTGAGAAGTAAAACTAGGTCAGCGGGTTAGGTGCTTCAGGGGAATCTCAACTGAATCCCTCTGTTTGGTTTGTAGGGTGGCTAGTCTTTCTTCAGAGGAGGATGCTGGACCCAGCAGGTGCAGGGACATGCCCAGCGTCACAGCTGGGGAGAGAGGGCAGGACCGTGTGAGTCACTGGGCAGGAGAGATGATTCTGGGCCAAGAACCTTCAAATTTCCCAGGGACCCAGAGAAACATCAGGCCTGAAAAACAATACATTGGCTCCAAATACAAAAGAAAATGACAAAATAGAAATTTAGTAAATGCTCAATGACACCAGTAATGTCAATCTCATCCATTTTTATTTATTTTATTTTATATATTTTATTGATTATGCCATTACAGTTGTCCCATTTTCCCCCTTTATTCCCCTCCACCCTGCACACACTCTCCCCCCATTCCCCCCCTTTAGTTCATGTCCATGTGTCACAAGTTCTTTAGCTTCTACATTTCCCATACTATTCCTGCCCTCCCCCCTGTCTATTTTCTACCTACCATCTATGCTACTTATTCTCTGTACCTTCTCCCCCCTTCTCCTCCTCCTGCTCCCCTGTTGCTAACCCTCCATGTGATCTCCATTTCTATGGTTCTGTTCCTGTTCTAGTTGTTCGCTTAGTTTGCTTTTGTTTTAGTGTGGTTGTTATTAACTGTGAGCTTGCTGTCCTTTCACTGTTCATATTTTTTATCTTTTTTTTCTTAGATAAGTCCCTTTAACATTTCATATTATAAGGGCTTAGTGATGATGAACTCCTTGAACTTGACCTTATCTGAGAAGCACTTTACCTGCCCTTCCATTCTAAATGAAAGCTTTGCTGGATAGAGCAATCTCGGATGTAGGTCTTTGGATTTCATGACTTGGAATACTTCTTTCCAGCCCCTTCTTGCCTGTAAGGTCTCTTTTGAGAAATCTGCTGACAGTCTGATGGGAACTCCTTTGTAGGTGACTGTCCCCTTATCTCTTGCTGCTTCTAGGATTTTCTCCTTCATTTTAATCTTGGCTAATGTAATTATGATGTGCCTTGGTGTGTTCCTCCTTGGGTCCAATTTCTTTGAGACTCTGAGCTTCCTGGACTTCCTGGAAGTTCATTTCCTTTGCCAGATTGGGGAAGTTTTCCTTTATTATTTGTTCAAATAAGTTTTCCACTTGTTGCTTTTCCTCTTCCCCTTCCCCTTCTGGTACCCCTATAATTTGGAGGTTGGAATGTTTAAAGATGTCCTAGAGGTTCCTAAGCCTCTCCTCGTGTTTTTAAATTCTTGTTTCTTCATTCTTTTCTGTTTGGTCATATTTTTTCTTTCTTCTGGTCCACTCCATTGATTTGAGTCCCAGTTTTCTTTCTAACACTATTGGTTCCCTATACATTTTCCTTCATTTCACTTAGTGTAGCCTTCATTTTTTCATCTAATTTGCAACCAAAATCAAGCAGTTTTATGAGCATCCTGATCACCAGTGTTTTGAACTGTGCATCTGATAGGTTGACTATCTCTTGGTCACTTAGAAGTATTGGCTCTGAGGCTTTGAGCTGCTCTTCTGCTTGAGCCATAATGTTTTGGTCTGGCCACATCTGTCACATAGTGAGGGGCAGGGGCTTAGGTGTTCACCTGGGCAGGGGCTTAGGTGTTCACCAGGGCAGGTCAACCCAGTCACTGGGTTGTGACTGGGGGCGGGGTTAGAGAGGGAGCAGTGGCATTTGTTCTGCTCTCTCTCGGATTTCAGTCCTCTCTGCCACTTCCCACAAGCAAACCGTGCCCTTTTGGTGCTGGTTCCTGGGTGTGTGGGCTTGTGTACATTCTAGGACCCTGTGGGTCTCTCTAACGAACTCTCCTGTGAGGCTGGGAGCCTTTCTTGGCACCTCAACTTTCAAAAGTTTTTCCAATTGGTGCTTTTACGCTTTATTTCACATTGCTGGAGCTCTGGGTTGTGCAGTCTGTCTCACTGCCTGTTTTTTGCCTGGTTTATCTGTGCACAAATGTGTGTCCGGGGTCAGCCAGCCACCTTCTGAGCCACACTGGGTTTGCTCATTTTCTCCCCACGCCCAGGTCCACTAACCACCACCTTTTCCTGTTGGGACCCCTACCCACTGGCCGCCGACTCCTCCCCTCTTACCAGTCTGGACAAATGGTTCGTTGTTGTCAGACTTCAGTACAGGTCAACTTTCTGTCTGTTTTGGTTGTGGTTTTTTTTTTCTAAATCTTTGTTGTCCTTAAATTTGGTTGTGTGAGGAGGTACAGTATTTCCACCTACACCTCCATCTTGGCCAGAAGTCATCATGCATTTTAAATAGTCATATACATTCTATTATATTCTAAAGATTTGTGTTAAGATTTCTTTTGCTTTCTCCAAGCATGGGAGTATAAAGACATAGCACTCCTGGGCTTCTCCCTACTCACACACGCAACACTTCTGTGGCCAGATTTTTTGTGACATCCTCTGGGTATCCTGTGATGTAACTCCACCCTGACACTATCTACCTGGAGATAGCATCAGATCTCACAGGTGAAGGGCTCAGTCCCACAAGACTGCCAATCACAAGAAGTAGGTCCCTGGTTACCCACAACTTCTGTGTTACTTGGCTGTAGATAGGAGCTGCCCGCAATGCCCTCCTTGGATTCAGAGACTTG